AGTTTTTTTTATAATCTCCCTTCATGGCACTAAACTTGTTTTGAGTTTTGAAAAGTGCTGTATATCAATTGAACATATTAATATTGTGGCAGTTGTCGCTGTTGTGAGATTTTCTAAAATGAGAGGAGATGGAGATGGAGACACAGACAGAGAAAGAGATGGAGATGGAGAGGAGATACAATTGCAAAGAAGATACTGAGAAGAGAAACAGATGGAGAGTGAAAGGAGAGAAATGCAAATAGAGAAGGAGACAGAGAGGAGATACAGAGAGATAAAGATAGAGATAGAGAGGAGATACGGAGATAAAGACAAAAAGAGATGGAGAGGAGATACAGAGAGATGAAGATAGAGAAAGAGATGGAGAGGAGATACAGACAGAGAGAAACAGATAGAGAAAGAAATGGGGAGGAGATGCAGAGAGTAGAGAAAGAGATGGAGAGGAGATACAGGCAAAGAGAAACAGATAGAGAAAGAAACAGAGAAGAGATACAGACAGATATAGAGAATGAGATGGAGAGGAGATACAGACAAAGATACAGGTAGAGAATGAGATGGAGATGAGAAAGAGAGATACAGACAAAAACAGACATAAACTAAAGGAGATACACAAAGAAATTGAGATGGAGAGGAGATACAGAGAGACACAGATAGAGAATGAGATGGAGAGGAGATACAGAGAGATACAGATAGAGAATGAGATGGAGAGGAGATACAGAGAGAAATACAGATAGAGAATGAGATGGAGAGGAGATACAGAGAGAGATACAGATAGAGAATGAGATGGAGAGGAGATACAGAGAGAAACACAGATAGAGAATGAGATGGAGAGGAGATACAGACAGAGATACAGATAGAGAATGAGATGGAGAGGAGATACAGAGAGAAACACAGATAGAGAATGAGATGGAGAGGAGATACAGAGAGAGATACAGATAGAGAATGAGATGGAGAGGAGATACAGAGAGAAATACAGATAGAGAATGAGATGGAGAGGAGATACAGACAGAGATACAGATAGAGAATGAGATGGAGAGGAAATACAGAGAGAAATACAGATAGAGAATGAGATGGAGATGAGAAAGACAGAGAGATACAGACAAAAAGAGACACAAATTAAAGGAGATACACAAAGAAATTGAGATGGAGAGAATATACAATGAGAGAGAACGAGATGGAGGCAGAAAAAAGATGGAGAGGAGATAGAAAAGGAGGTGGAGAGGAAATCCAGACAGAGAAAGAAGCAGATTGAGAGGGGGGATACAGACTGACAAAGAGACGGAGATTGAGATGGACTTAAAAATACAGATACAAATAAAAAAGGAAATGGAGACGGAGGAGAGATAAAGACTGAAAAAGAGGTGAGAAGATTGGAGATCTGGGAAACGGGAAATGGAGACAGAAAAAGGAGAAGGGGATTCAGACGATGATGCAGTGCGCTGGAACCATATCTGCTCCAACCTGTATAGGGGTGCTCCATAGCTGATGTAACTATGAAGTAAGAACCTGTGCTACACCAGTATGTAGGTCTCCGTTTTCAGGGCCAAATCTCAGCTCCGACAGCCAGTGGTGTCACATTCCACACACTCACTGCGCACACATATAGAGCTGTAATTAGCTGGGGTTATCAGGGACATTGGTGCAGTGTCGTAACAGAAGATTATGAGGTCGGGCTGCGTGTGTATGTGTGTTGGAGTCAGGTGACGTCTTAAGCACTGATGTTGAATCAGAGACCACTATCAGTAATCAGGTTGCAAGCTGATGTAGGTCACATTAACTCTATCATTACAGCAAAGACCAACCACCTGACACACACAGCATCACACTGTAACAGACCAAACTACTGACGCAGAACTAACAGCAGGAAACTACGGTGTGTCCTGCTTTATAATAAATCACATGATAAGATCAAACAAGCAATGATGCAAGTATTGCAAAAAACTATTTTTAGTGAGTATATTTGTACTGAAATCATGGGAAACCACTACTTCCAACGGTCTGAAATAAAGTTAAAATATAAAAGGTAATTTACCTGTATCTCATTCAAATGAATGATAATGATATACAAACCTTGTGGCTACAAGGTTGTTGTTAATATTGTACGCTATTCTATAATTAGTCTGACTTGTTCGTTCCTCACTGTTTTACTGTGTGTAGATGTATTCAAGCACACAATATACACTATTGTTAAAAAGTCTGTAATCACTGGTGATATTAATATTAATTTACATAGTACTGTACAAAAGTCAGAGACCACTCTATTTAACTGTTTGTTTTCATTTTTCAGCAACAGGAAAAAAAGTGTGTCTATCATAGCTTCCATCTTTGTCTTTGTCTTCATCATAGATTCCACTCTTGTTTAGAGACTTTCAAATCTGCAGAGATGTTTTTCCACACCTCTGAAGTTCAGTCTTAGAAGTTGGTTTATCATTTTCTGCTTTTCACAATCCAAAGAAATCCCAAACACATTCAATAATGTTGAGGTCTGGACTCTGGAGTAGTCAGTTTACTGTTCTGAGAACACCAGCGGCTTCTTTGTTTGAGGTGTCTGTCTCCTTTTCTCAGTGAGACTTCTTGACAGCTACATATCCTTTCAGACCCATAGCGCTGAGTCGTCTTCTCACAGTGGAAGGATGGACAGAAACACCTGTTGATGTTTTTAGATCTGAAGCAAGAGTGGAGCCTGAGTTTTCTTACGCAACTGGATAATCTTATATCTAATCTCCTCATAAATCTCCTGAAAAATAAGGATTTTGAACTTGAAGGCCGTTTGGACATTAAATTAATGAAGGGTGCACTCTGACTTCTGCACAATGCTGCGCACAATAATAACTTATATAATGCAGATTTAAATCTTATAAACTAGACACCAGAAGGTATTTTAGATGTTTATTCAATGTTCCAAAAATACTATTTATCACAAATATAAGCTTCCTATTAATTATTTGAAGATATAAAGTTGCACACGACTAGCACAGCGAAGTTGTTTTATCTGAAACCAAATTGGGTTTATACTGTAAAAAAAAAAAAGAATCCAAATGAATTATAGTTTTTCTTCCTTTATGTTGTAAGCTTCATTAAAACCCAGACTAACAGTGGAATATGGTTTGTTCCGGCTCTATGAGGCTGTAGATTATAGCCTGACTAAAGAAACTAGGGCACAAGCTCCATGTTTGTATTTCATTTGCGTGGCAAACTTGTTGCATGTTTACACACATTGAGAGGTTTACACCAAATTGCCCTTATAAAAACACACCATCAGGATCATGCGTAAAATGTAAACCCAGCAGCAAGAGAATTGGACCAGCTTCTGTTCCTCAGCCTCTTTACGCAAACGGGGTAAAATCCACAGACCTTTTCATGTTGCCATTTTTTTTTTTAGTTACAGTTGTGTGGTGACCTAGTTTGTATTTTCGCTTAGCTATCACATTCCAAAAAACTTGTTGGGTGTGTACAGTGTTCACGGAGCTCTGACATCCATTCTGAGTGTGACATTGTTGGTTCTTTCCTTTAATTCAATCTCCATGATGGGTGGTGCTCGCCAAGACATACTTTTGAGCTTCTTTCACATGTCTGACTCAGGCTTCCCACAGTCTCCTCATAGACTCTCTAGTGAATATGAAGCAATATAATCATAATATGGTATTTTTTCCATACGGCAGCACTAATATGTCTGCAGCTGAAACATTTAGTCATTAAAGCTGTGTGACTGAATGTGTGTTCATGAATTTACAATAGAAAGATCTTATTATCCATTTCAGGGAATGACAAGTCCTTGAACATGTACTTGGAAATGTTTATCTTCTCTGACCAAACTATTTGACCTCAGTCTTGTCTTCAGTGTCATCCTGGTGTATCTATGTATATGCTGCCATGTTTCACCAGATGAGACCGAATGCTTTAGATCAGTGTTTCCCAATGCTGGCCCTGGAGGCCCACTGCCATGGACACTTTTGTGTTTTCTCTGTTCCCAGTGGACCCGATCCAACTCATCAATCCATTAACAAAACCTTACTGAGTTGACATGTTCATGCTGAAGCACGGAAAGCACTAAACTGTGAAGTACAATGGGCCACCAGGACAAGGGATGAGAAAAAGTCCTTCAGATCATTTACATTTACGGCATTTGGCAGATGCTGTTATCCAGAGCGACTTACAATTTGATCATTTTTACAGACGTAGGCAAAGGTAGTGTTAGGAGTCTTGCCCAAGGACTCTTATTGGTATAGTGTAGGGTGCTTGCCTAGGCAGGGGATTAAACGCCAGCCTACAGCGTAGAAGGCGGTGGTCTTACCCACAACACCATACCTATCTATCAACTGAGCGTGAAAAAAATTCAAAGCTACTATTTCAAAGTTGCACACACCATCATCCACATTCAGCATCAACACCTGGAGGCGCTCAGCCATTTCCAGCACTGCTCAATTTCTCTGAGCGCCACAGCATGACATTCAGCAGTTTGCTTTTACTGCATTAAATAAAAACCAGAAGACCGCAGACATCAATGTTAGATGACGTGTGGATTGAAATTGACATCAACAGGTTTTCAGACAAACAGATAAATGTAACTGTAACATGTCCGTTGTTCTTTAGACCGGTGGTCTGTATTGTGTGGTAAACCCTCTAAGGTCATGCAGGCGTTATATTCTCTTTATGTGACACATATGATTTCATTCTGGATAGAGGTCTTGAATCGTTTAACAGTTTTTCTTTTCATTCATCATTTATTTAGATTTTTCACCTGTGTGGATGCATCTTTGGTCCTTGTGTTGATAGATGACAGCAACAGACTCTAAATTTAACATCCAGAATCAACTCTAGATGTTTGTAACTCTTATGCATAACCTAATGACACCATGACGCACAGCTGGCAAAGAAACAACTCTTGTTCAATTACTTATGGGAAATATAGAGAAAAAATGATTATAACTCCTACATGGTTTACCTCAAATTTCTTCTTATGACAACACCTTCACATATGCCTACATGCATGAGTGTCTCACCTCCGCGGACGCCTTCCAGCGGGTAGAAGAAGGCCACCAGTAGGTTCATGAGCACAGCCAGGTTGAAGGAGATGCTGCTCCAGAAGGACATGTTTCTTGAACACCAGTACAGAATGGGCTGAGCTACAGAGGGGAAATGGAAAAGATAGCATACACAGTCACTCAACAAGACTTGTAGACTCTTATCCAGACATACAACACCTTATTACACACATATGACCTTTCCTGTTTTAAGCACTCCCAATGCAGTCATACAAACTTTGACACACACACCAACACACTCTTTGTCAATCTTTGACTCTTAAATAAGCCAAACACACATACAAGGTTTACAGACTCTTAATCCAGCCATACAAACCTGTGTACAAAATGCATGACCATAAAGTACATCTAGACACCCACTACATCCCATCAGCAAATAAACAAAGCAAGTCTGAAATATTTCTCAGCTTTTACAGATCTAATACCACAATGCTATAAACATATACATGTACAAACAATTCTGAACATCAATGCAACATCAGGTTGTTGCTCAAATAAGCATTTAATTGTACTACTATTAAACCCTAGGTCCTTATCTAAGCCATAAATGCTGATTGGGTAATATAACGATAAGGAAAACATGCTGTTTAGATTAATTGACTATTAATTGATGGTATTTTATGGTTCTGTTTGAACAATACAGTCAACACTAGTCACACTCAATCATTTTTTGGTAGTTTCCCACAATATCTGACAGCGATGGCAGATCATGTGAGCTTTAGCATATGGCTAGAATACGACATCAAACCCAAGTTTCAAGTTTTGGCTTTGTTTTGCTAATGATAACAAAATTGGAGCCAATTTTGAAAGTACCAGATTTCAAAAGAATCATTCTTCCAAAAATACACTAATATGACTAGCGACCAGGGAGCATGATTTCGGTTGCATAATGATACCTGATAGATGTCTACTGGGTATGAAATTGTCACAATTAATATGAATGTTATTCATATTATTATTTTATTGCTCATACGGAAACAAAACGTTAGCAGGATCAGTGCTGATGTCAAAGTGCTACTATTTATGACTGCAAGCCAGGAGGATTTGTGGTGCCAGCCAGTAGCTTATCTCTACAGAACTCATTCTAGTAATATCTTTTTCACAAAAAAATACAGCGACATGGAGTTCATTCATGCCGTCCATGTCTGCTGCAGTTACTGAAGGCAGCAAACAGTTTCCACGGCAACGCTGACGCTGCTTCTGTGGTAGCACATGTTCAAAATGCCCTGAGTCTATTTTCAGGGAGCAGAAACAACACATGCATGGAACTGGAGAGGGTAATTAAAAAGTACAGCGTGCCACAGTCCAATGATGAAGATCTGGCAAAAACGTCCAACGCAAGGACTGCAATGGACTGGTTTCCATGGCAACCTCCACAGCTTCCATTCAAAGCTACTTTAAAAAGAAAAAAAAAAAAGAAAAGGGAAAAAAAGACCTAAACCCACTGACCTAGGCATACAACCCATTTAACCTTAACTCCATCCCAGTGAGCGTCCCACTTGGCTAATGGGTTTCTTTTTGAGAAAGTTCAAAATAAAGCAGAACCTTTAAACTAGCAAGGAAGTGCATCAGTCAAGCATGCAACTTTTTGAGAACTGCACAAATTAATCAGTAAGGCCACAGATTTGACAAAAATACAGAACAGAGGGAGAAAGAAAAGAGAGTCTTCATTAGCCTCGACCAGTGCAGTCATACTAAGCCCAACAGAGTGTTAACCTCAACCACGAGCCCTCCTCCCTGAGAACTCTCTCAACTTCTGATTATTTTGACGTCTGGTTGGTTTTGATTTGAAAAGAGGAACCGAAGGAAGGAACTTTAAATACGCAGAATCCACCGCACTCATGACTAGTGGTCGGAGCCAACAAACATGGCCTAGGCTCTGAGATTCAAAATTGTAACATACTGCTGTCGCCTAGAGCACTCACACCACTAACTGATCATTCACAACCTCACTGGGGCAAAAGCAAGATTGTGAACCCTCATCATCAGATAATGACGAACCTGCAACTAAAAGTTTCTAATTGCAAAGATAAGGATGGCTTCTTTATTCATTTATCTTTTGATTTTTTGAACTGGTCTGACATGTTGCACAGACTTTTGATTTAAAACACATTTCTGATCACATTTCTTTTTCTACTGGTTTATTCAAGTCTAGCAGACTTAAAAGGTCTAACTGACAACAAGGATAGAAATGTTGACCTCTCTCGCTCTTTTTTCTCCTTGTCCCTATGGTCAGGTTTGAGATTACTACATGTCTTTTTTCATCTCAACCTTGTGGTTGGTCTCGTACTTTTTCTTCCTCTTCTCTTTACTATAGAAAAACTTGTTTCTCAAAAGGCACTTGCCACCACATTTCTCACCACCATTTCTCTACCTTAGTCTCAATTCAAATCCTGTTGATGGAAGAAAAGTCTTGATTCCCTGCCTTAATTTTACCAACGCTCGCTTACTCTAACTCGCTCTCATTCTCTCCGGACATAACCTGAACACTCCTTCATTCCCCTATCTTTCTAACCCATCTCCCTCTTTCTCTGTTGCTCATCCCTTTCTCAATTCCTTCTTCTCTCTCACTCTATGTCTTCATCTCTTTCTCTCATTCTCAATTTTCTCTCCCTCCTCTAAGAGAGACTCATTTTATCCTGGATTGCTTGCTTTAAAGGAATACTCCAGTGTTTTTCAGTCTCTTTGTGCCACATCTGTTTTACTACAGGTGATAATTTTAACAGGTGTTCCAACAGTTAGTAAAAGAACAGGAAAAAAAAAATCTTTGACTCAAAACATATTTGAAGAGATTCATTCCAAATTGCTGTAGTTTCATTTCTAACAATTTTAGACAGAACAAGTTGAAAAGAACAGCTAACATATAATGGAAAAATATATTTATTTTTTTCTATAAAAGGTGGTATTAATCATAACATGACATTGAAATTTCTTTTATGTGTAAAGACTTACAAGAACGTGTAACTTTCAAAATTCTTGAAAGTGATCTATAATTCATTTATAATAGAAGATATCTTCCCATTGGCTTGTACTGTGGTAGACCGAGATTAGGGTAAAAACGCTGGAGTTTTCCTTTAAGTTCAGGAAGGAAGTCAACAGTCACATAACTCTGACTTCCGCTCATTCACTTTCACACACGAGTCTCCTACCCTTCCTTGCTGTCTTTGACTACAAATATAACCAGGAGCTTGTTAGACTATACACTTCATCACCTTATAACTTTAAACTTCATTTCTATTTTTAGTGTTTACACCCCCTCCCCTCTGCCCTGGCTCATTGGGGATCAGGACGAGCCACCTGTGCCAGCTCAGGTGCTTCGAGAGTGGGCTTCACCTGAAGTTTACGTGGGGCTTCAGGGAGGGAGAGGGCGTGTATGCACCTTACTTAGGACAGATAGGAAGGGAGAGGGTCCACGCACAGGGCACGGAGTTTGCGTTACCAGTGTCCTGTTGAGTACCTCGCAGTTTCTTCTGCCAGTTCATCTCATTGAAGAGGTCTTCGCAACGCACGAAAAAGTCGTTGATCTTGCTGCCCTGTTCGTCGCGTTCTGTGGTGTAATACACGCGCAGCTTGGATTCCAGTGTGAGGAACTCGCAGATGTTGGGCACGGGGAAGACGATCTGCTCCATGGTGCGGTCCAGACGTACAATCTGGGAAACAATCACAATCATCATAATTATTGCTACCCCTGGAAAAGTGTCATCACTTTGAAGAACACTTTGTAGTAATAATCAGACATTATCAGATCTATTTCCATTCATATTTACCTTGTTTAAATGCATATCGCACATTTTTGTCCTCAAAAAATCTAAAGTCGTTATTCAAGAGTTCCTGTTTCACTGGGATATGAATATGAGGCGACATGCAACCCAGACACCTTTACTCATCCATCAGAAAACACACAAAGGAAATGAAAGAAAAGACTATTGACCTTTATAAATCAGGGTACAGCTACAAAAATACCTTCACACCTACAACTACGCACAAGGGTAGTAATTAAAAAGTTTTAAACCCATGAAGCTGGGATGAATCTTCATCTAAAAGGACACAAGTGTATTTGGCTCCCACGCACACTAAGGAGGATGATTCAATAAGTAAAATTTTCTCCAAGGATCAGAGTTGGACAGCCTATTACATCCTGGGGTCACCAAGCCTCCAAAACTAGTTACACATCTCTCCATACCACAAACATTAGTGCCTGGTATTTGCTAAACATCAGCAGAACTCTGGAACTGCGTTATATGGCCCGATAAGACAAAAGTATAACTTTCCGGTAAAAAATCAGAAAGGAAAAGAAAGGAAGAAAGAAAAACAAATGTCACTAGTCTGATCTAGTATGACAGAAGATCTGTGGTGTTGATATGTTTTCCTCAAAAAAGGCTGGGAACACCATAATGTCAAGTATGTTAAATGTCTGCCAAGAAGCCAAGATTGGGTCATGGATAGATTTTCCAGCAGGACACTGAACCCAAATGCCTCAAAAGAAAAACGATTTAATGACTATAAAATTAAGCTTCTGCAGCAGCAGTACTAATCCTCTGATATAAATAACCCCCAAAAAACTGAGGGGTTGACCTGAAGCTTGACCTGAAGCAGAGAATTCACAAGCAAGGACCAAGGGCTCTTTTTTGTGTTCTGTTTTTTGGCAAAGGGAAGGTGCCAAAATTACTAAATGCAGAGATGCCAGTAACTGTGACATGTTTTTGAGAAACTTGCTTGTTTTTTTATAAAGAGGATGTTTCTTTGAATAACTTCACCTTGAAAGATTAGATTTCTATAGATTACAGTGGAAGAACAATCTGATAGGGCCAGAGGGGACTGTAGCTCACATAAGCAAGAGTAGTTAACAGTCTAGAAACGCATAAATACTTGTGGTGTTCAGCTGGAATTAACTTCTTGTCTGTTGAGTTTACAATATTTGTCCGAACCTAGCGAGAAAATGGATGTGAGGTAAATAAGACGCACGTCGGGTGACGATAAGCCTGTTTGGGTCAGTGTCAGACTCAAACCTGGATATGGACTTCAGACAAGAGTACTTGGGCTGTATTCGAGCTTGGACCAAAAATTCAGCTTTACTCTAAAAATAAGCTGGGATTTCATCTAACACACTTGGCTTGACTCCTGTCCCTTAAATGGAATCTTGTCCCATCTGCTTTAACACACTGACATAACAGCATCTCCACATGCAAACAACGGTACGCAAATTAGCCAAATCATTTTCATTTGTAAACCGAAATTAAACAATAACATGGTTCAGAATAGCAGGTTACTCAGTGCCTCAGATCAGTAACCATGTTTACAAGTGGAATTTAAAGCAATTATGTTTTATAGTTCATGGATGTACTAACGCACCACCATACTGCTCTCCAGCAGCACTGGAACATTACCCTGAAGAAGGGAGATCAAAAAAGGTACCCAGAGGCAGGAACTACACACCTCGATTTGAGCAGTGTGTTTGGCATAGAACTCCAGAGCTTCGTCACCCTCACCGTAGGTGCCTCCCGCCTTCAGCATGGCTTGCAGCTCCTTGTTATGTCTGGCCAGCTGTAAGAGTGAGTGGAAAGAGGTGAGGTGGTTTACACTGCACTGTAAAAAAAATAAAAACCACTGTGACATAACTAGTTAACATACAAAAACACTGACTTGCAGTGATCCAGAATTTAAACAACAATAAAAAATAAACAAAAAACAAACTCTGAATCGTCAGAACACTTAAAATGCTTTTGCCTTTTCAACTCTTAAGCCCTATTTGAGCTGGGTTAGTTTTACCAGAGGAGGTCTGGTAATTTAATTTGTTAGGAATTCAACTAGCCGATTTGTATGAGATAAAGTATATGTGTACCTGGACATTCAGTTCAGCATTAAGATTAGAATTAAATGGATCCAAACAAACAAACAAACAAACAACAAAAACAAACTTCCAGTTAATACCAGAGAGAAAAGCACTAGATCAGTGAAATGGGCTCAGTCAATTTAACACGTCTCCCAACAGGACAGAAATAATACTGCTTTGTGAAAAGCACCTTCAGATTTCATTTAATTTATCTTCTCCTTCTAATTAGCCCATCATTAAAATCATTTTAAGGATAAAAGAACTGTGTCAAGAGCTCCTTTTCAGTTGTCGGCCTCATCTCCCACTCGCAAAAAACAAAGGTACTGATGTCCATTAGGATTTGTTATTATATTAGTGTGAGGTTGATTTTAACAGGACTGCTATTATGGAAGGAGCTCAGAGTTTAGTGAATTTTAAGCCCTACTGGAGCTGGATTAGTATTACCTAGAGAGCTACTGTAATCTGAGAGATTTCTGATGAGATCTGTGATTTTATTCCAGTACGAATCTGCAATGTCAGTAGTTTTAATAAGTCTGTTGGAATAATTCGCAATAATTCAGGAGCTAATTATCTTCTAAAATTCGCTGAAATTGGAGCTCCTTCAATAACAGTAGTCCTGTTCGAATCACCCTCAAAGTAATGTAATAAAGCTGGGTAACAGAAAATGGTGCCATTTTTTTAGAACCTGCAGACAAGGCTAACAGCTAAAATGAAGTTTGATGTGACCCAATTCCTTAATCGACAAGTTCATGACAAGACCCCTGAAATAAACAATATCTTTGATGATGGCCAAATTACAAGGAGAAGGAAAATGAAATCTCTCAAAAGAACCACTCACTAGTCAATGTGTTTCCTGTCTCGAGTTTATTCTGGAACACTAAAAGTCAATTTGTGACACAATTCAGTGTAAATTCCCTCCCATACGCTATGATTATGCACCATCATTTGGATCGGCCTGTGATAACGGGCAGCACGCCACAACGAAATGAGATGTAAGGTCTCCTTACTCCATCCACTGTCACACTTAGTTGATTTTTTTTTTTGTGTGTCCTATTTGCCATTTCGCCAGACAACGTTGTTATTGTTTGGAAGCACGGTGCCTGTCACATAGTGCTGACGTAAACATCTGCATGACTATGTTTCGATCCGGGATGTTTGGGATAATTTGGGGAAATTACACAGATATGAATCAACCAGTAAAATCATGCACAATTTACATTACAGGACCTCCTCTGGTAAAATAAATCCACCTAGAATATGGCTAAAAGAAAGTAATTCGCTCTGGAATAATGACTTAACAGACTTGTAAAAACTGCGAACATGGCAGATTCATAGAGGATTAAAATCGTGGAGTTCATCTGCAATCTCTCAAATTGCATCAACTTCACAGGTAAAACTAATCCAGCTCCAACAGGGTTTCAGCTGCTGTCATATCCCATACTGCTGTGTGGTACAGCTCAACAATGACCACAGTATTTCAAGGTGAAAAATTTGCATTAAACATCGTGGAATCCTGGCAATAATTACCAAATGTGGGGTTCCAAAGTCTGAGATCACCAGGGAAAATACTTCTACTTTGAATTTCTTTTCAATTTAACATACAAAATTTGTCAACACCTGTAATATTATCAGCAAAATACATTGAATGAAAAGTAAAAGCTTTGAAATCTTAGCATGAATTTCAACATTTCTTAGTTTTCAGTAGTCCCCCTTTTGCTTCAGTGACAGTGTGCATTGGAGCTGGCATGGACTCCATATGTTTGTGCTCAACACAATCGCCCGAGAAAGAAATAAGCCTAAAAAATCCTCTGACTTGCTTGTACAAAGGCCTTAAAGTGGTCAGTGACAAAAATCTGCTTAAATTGAAGCCCTAAAAATAGTGCAGAATCTTGAATTTTTCTTCTTAATTTTATTGTCATTTCTTTGTTTTTCATTTTCCAAAATCTTAAACTTTCTGTTGTTTATTTCCTGGTGCAAATTAAAAAAAAAAAAAAAATCAGATTTTCAATGTGGTCTCAGACTTTTGGACCCCACTGTACATGGCCATGATGCCCAGCATATAACACTAGGGAGGCAGCCTTAATTCTTCTGTCTTTGGAGAAATGTCACACTACACTGACAAATGAGCACATCACTGCAGGAGCCAAATGCGCATACACACACACACACACTCTCACATGCACGCACACACACACACACACACCCTCTTTTGCTCATAACATCATCCTCAGCTGACTAAAGTGTGTCAGATCAACACTGCACAAACATATTCACTGCCCAGCCGTCATGCGGAGTGAATTCTGCAATCTGAAGCCGTATCTTGGCCAAACTTTAGCCACTAATTATTACTCTTTCCCAAACTTCCCCAAATGCAGGCCAAGCATAGTTATTCTACAGTTACAGTTACTTTACAGTCACGTTACAGTTTTACAGACACCGTCACCAAATGTACATTTAATGCCGCCAAATAACTTTATGGAGAGTGCTGCTATTCTTGCCTAACTCACTATAGACAGTATTGCTATTGTTGTACTTTACAGTCAGTGCTGCTTTTGTCGCCAAGTCACTTTACAGACATTGCTGCTATTGTTGCCAAGTCACTTTACAGACAGTGCTGCTACTGTTGCCTAATCACTTTACACACTGCTGCATCTGTCACCAAGCCTCTTTACAGACAGTGCTGCCATTTTCACCAATTCACTTTACAGTGCTGCTACTGTCGCTCAGTCACGTTGCAGACAGTGTTGCCATTTGTTTTTCTGTATAGTTAACTTTATTGGTATATATTATTTCAAGTCACATCAACATTCATATACGTGTGTATATATGTGTGTATGTATATTTACACATATATTTATATACAGTCCCTCCAAGTAGTAGATTTTGCAGGTTTACACATTTGGAGTTAACTTTGTGAAGCATTAGCATTGTGAAATTTGGACTGTAGATGGGCCTGGACATGTGAAATGCACTGCAGCAAAAAATAATGTTATTCCTCTGTTTATTAATTTTTAAATATTTTGCAAAGTTTACCAGAGGGTCAATTATTATTCAACCCCTCAAACCACCAGAATTCTGTTTGGTTCCCTCAAGTATTAAGAAGTAATTGAGGCGTAAGGAACAATGAACTTCACATGCTTGGATTAATTATCTGTTTTTTCCCACCTTTTCTGACTATAAAAGCCCCTCCCCAATCAAGTGAACAGCACTCATACATGGTCAACAAGGGTAAGACTAAGGAGCATTCCAAGGCCATCAGAGACAAAATCGTGGAGGGTCACAAGGCTGGCAAGGGGTACAAAACCCTTTCGAAGGAGTTGGGCCTACCTGTCTCCACCATTGGGAGCATCATCCAGAAGTGGAAGGCTTATGGAACTACTGTTAACCTTCCACGGCCTGGACACCCTTTCAAAGATTCCTCCCGTGCTGAGGTCAGGCTTGTCTGAACAGTCAAGGCTGAACCAAGGACAACAAGGAGAGAGCTCATGGAAGATCTCATGGCGGTGGAGACATAGGTTTCAATAAATACCATAAGTAACATACTCCACCGCAATGGTCTCCGTTCCAGGCGAGCCTGTAAGGTACCTCTACTTTCAAAGCGTCATGTCAAGGCCCATCTAAAGTTTGCTCATGATCACTTGGAGGACTCTGAGGCAGACTGGTTCAAGGTTCTCTGGTCTAATGAGACCAAGATCGAGGTCTTTGGTGCCAACCACACCCGGGGCGTTTGGCGAGAGGAGGGCACTGCATACGACCCCAAGAATACCATCCCTACAGTCAAGCATGGTGGTGGCAGCATCATGCTGTGGGGCTGCTTCTCAGCCAAGGGGCCTGGCCACCTGGTCCGCATCCACGGGAAGATGGATAGCACCACCTGCCTGGAGATTCTGGCCAAAAACCTCCGCTCATCCATGGGTCGTCATTTCATCTTCCAAAAGGACAACGACCCCAAGCACACGGCCAAGAAAACCAAGGCCTGGTTTAAGAGGGAAAGGATCAAGGTGTTGCAGTGGCCTAGTCAGTCTCCTGACCTTAACCCAATTGAAAATTTGTGGAAGGAGCTCAAGATCAAAGTCCACAAGAGATGCCGAAAGAACCTAGACAACTTGGAGAAGATCTGAATGGAGGAATGGGCCAAGATTACTCCAGAGACCAGTGCCGGCCTGATCAGGTCTTATAAAAACCGATTAATAGCTGTAATTGCAAACAAGGGTTATTCCACAAAATATTAAACATAGGGGTTGAATGATAATTGATCCTAATTTTTATGTTTAAAATGTATTATAATTTAATTGAGCAACTTATATTTTTTGTTTGTAATATTTAGGCATCTGTTAATAAATGCTACTCTTGTTCAAAGTTTGAAGGCTCTAACTTATTTGCAAAAAATTTGAATACTACTTGGAGGCACTGTATATATATTTATATATGATATTTTTTTGGTTGTTTTCACTTACCTTGATATTTAAATGTTTATAGAGTATATTATCCAAGCCTCACCACACGCTTTTGATGTGGAAATTGATATACCATGCATATGGCAAACAAAAATACTCTGATTCTGATAATCTGACTGACTTAACGCTAGCCTGCCCTACAGGCTTTCATTCAGTACTTACATTAGGATATCTGAATAACTTTTTTCTTAACTACAAATCAGACAATGCAACCTCACACACACAGTGTTGTCCAACCTTGTCTTTGACCCTAAAGGGAGTAAAGAAGAGCACTGGCCTAAGGCCAGTGAGGCCACTAACGCGTTTAATTCCTAACTGCGCCTTACATAACTGATCCGTCAGGCTATCTGGCCTACTTAATTACATGAACAGGCAGAAAATCTATACAGCTCAACAGCGCAACAGAGGGAGCAGAAAAGGAGGGAAGAGAGCATGATATAATCAAGATAAAATGACACAGTGAATGCAAAAGAGTGAGATGGTGAGATATGAGCTAGTGAGTGAATGAATGAGTGAGAATGAGACAAAGAGAATGACAGGCAGTGTGTGTGTGTTGTAACCTATTTATCTGTGCGTGTGTGTGTGTAAACAGAGAAAGGAGGAAGTGTGTTTTAAACTTCTTATCTGTGTGTAAGAGAACATATACAATTACTTGTATTTGTGAACTGAATTTCCTTTTCTAATGCCAAGAAAAGACAGTGAGATCTTTTTTGAAGTCTCCTTGTTCAAAGGTATGACAGGTACAGTAAGAGGAGGCAAACCAGACTAGGCTTGAGCCAACTGACGATAATATATCACTGATAGTCTCCATCTGTTGCAATTGTCAATCAAGTTCAATTATTTAAATATGCCATCCATGACATTAAGATTTTTTCATGTCCTGAATCAGCCCTGACATGCTGTCTGGCTTTAGAGCATGGTGTTGCAGCACAAGATAGTTGTTGTGCTTGTTAAACTGACAAATTTGTGCTGCAGGCTTCCGCACACAGAACAGCTTCCCTGATAAAACATGAACGGAGACTTGTAAGATTATTACCTTTACATCAGTTATTAAAAACAAAAATGACAATGCATTGCAATAGTAACAGAAACTTTCATATAGTTAAGCTTTAGCCATGTTATTAACAGGCTGTAAACAAACAAAAACAACAAAAACTACCAAACCATATTGATAAAGTTGGCTTTTGACAAAGTTTCTGATCACAAGGCACATTTTTTTTGTTCAGTTAAAAAAGCACAGCTGATAATGTGGCATTAACAAACGCCTGCCACGTTGAAACAGGTTACTGAAAAAAAAAAAGGCCACGGATATCAATTAAGAGGATCCTCTGTCAGTGCAGGGAGCGGCTGCAGTCTGTATTTACAACTCTTTTTCTGTACACTTTTTTTCCCCTAAACTCCCCCAACTCCCCTGGACTCTACGATTATATCATCAATTGGCAATAGCCAGGGGGCTCAACAAGACAATGGTAAATTTAATAGAATATTACAAGCCAAAACCAAACACTCGCTGCTGACCCTAGCTGCTGTGCACGGGCACTGGAGTACTCGGTTACTACTCTAGCTGGTGTTAGCTAGGCCCAGAATCGGTGAAAATCTATTATTTTTCTGACAAATAACATGTTGGCACATTGTCCACCGATGAGAAAACACCCTGTGTAGTCTTCTTCAGCATCCAGTGTAACACTGGTTAGCTCTAGCAGCTCATTAGTTTTTCTGAAAAGGCAGCCACCATTATTCATCCAACACGAAAGCCTACTGATTTCCCTCAGAGGTTTTTCAACAACAAAAGTCTATTTCAAGTGAATTTCTCTGCTATATTTTTGTGCAACAAAATATACGGCATGTTCTTTTCCGTTCCCTACAGTAAACCTGCTATCCATCCATATCTCTTACAGACACTTAAATGTCAAAATTAGTCTGTAAGCGCATCCTTACTGAGAACCCACTTAATTTTGGGTCCTGGAATGTCGCTCTTACCCACTGAGCCACAGGTATTTAAAAACAGTTGACTACACAAGCGGTTCTTAAACTAGTCCTCATGACCCCCCAAAAAATGACATTTTCCTCCGTCCTTGTGTTGGATTGGAGAAAAAATGTGGCCTTTACAGTGGACTGTGAGGACCTGTCTGAGGATCACTGGTCTGCAGTCTTAAATATAAAGGCAACAAATAAGGATTCTTTAAAGCAATGCCGTAGAAGAACATTTCAATTTATGGTTCTTTAAAGAATCATTTTTTAAGAAGTGCTCCTAACCAGGTCCTCAGGGCCCCCAGATGGTCCATACTTTGGCCGAGGGCTCATTGGAGTGCTTTATACCAATGAAGAGTTTTTCCTGGATACTATATGTACAAACCAGGAACAATTTGGGAACTTTTATCATTAAGAGCGTAATAATATGTGCTGGACAGGGTAATCGGCTCAAGAGGCTCCTTGATGTTTTGAAGCCAAAGGAACCCACACATAATTTTTTTTTTTTATTTGTTTGATGAAGCATTTAGTGTGCGGTTTTCACTGGTAGTTAAACAATGTGAAAGGGAAGTGCCAGTTGTTAAGATGCTTGAGAGACCATGAAAGTATGCATGTGTGCGTGCATGTCTTCACCTGATGGGCCAAAATGTAAATGTTGTGGCCGACATTTCGAGGCGAAGCAGCATGCTCTTCTTCACCTTCCCCATCTTCCTCAGAGTGTTCCACTTCAACCTCTCCCTGCATGTAAGCCTTCTTTATCACCTCCACCTGCACACAGCAACACAAAATAATCCTTAGATGGCATGTATGTGTGTTACTGCTGATTAACTTTGTGAGTGAGCTCGTACAACTGTGCACAACAACAAAACCACCTTCAGGCAGCTCAAGAGTGCCCACATTTAAAGTACATGTGAAGTTAAGCACGTGTCTGCATGAGTTTTTATGCATGCATGTACATTAAACTGTTTCTGCGAGTAGTATGTGCGTCTGTGCGAGTGCACACACCAGTTTAAAAGTGTGCATGCCTGCAGAAACATGTTTTGTGGAGTAGGTTTTGTGCGCCATCAACAAGGCAAGCAGCATTCCTCAGCTAAGCCTGCCACAGCACGAGACAAATCATATCGAACTGACCAATGAAATGATCAGGTGCCGCGTCGCCCTGCATTCAATGAAGATTCTTATCTCATACTTTACTGTGTATCTTAAATCACGTCTTCTCATCAGGGAAGTGATACTCTATGTAATTTAAAGGTGAGATAAGCACATTTTTCACATTTCAGTCACTACTGTCATTACTACATAACCACAAGGAATGTCCCAAATTAGAAGCAGATGGTAACCTGAGGTGACCCAAGTGTTTTGCTGTTACTACAGGAAAGCAATCGCATCAGATCCTGCCTCAACTTGGTGTCAGTCCATAACATTCATCTCTGCTAACACTGTATATACGGAATGCTACAGGGTATAACAAAATTAGTACATAATCATGAAGCTTCTCACCAGTTCTTTAGGCCTCATGTTGTATAAGATCCGCTCTGCATTCTCACTGTCATGGCGACTCTCCATGATGGCCAGGAGCAGCTTGGAGGCATTATTCTGATCAACAGAGACAGACACACATCCAGAGTTACATCTGAACTACTCAGAAAATACCAGAAAGCCACGCATATCTTAACAGCTCTTGGATTCAGCCAATTTCCATATCGCTGCTGTCAGAACAAAACCTCATATCTCCATCATGGTCATTTTTCACTTTTTGAAATAATTTGAAAATGCCTGTTGCCCATTACATTGTGTTTAAATTTCATGACTAATGGACCAAAACAAAGGGCTCAGAATTACTTGGAAAGACATTTGCTTCCGTTGACTTACATAAAAAGTAAACTACGTTTTTTCCTTCTCCTGTAAAGCTTTCATTTTGGAGATACAAGGTTTTATTCCGACAGCAGCGATACGTTTTCAAGGTCATAGACAATCTAATGTTATAGCTAAACAGCAAGACATTCAATGATGTGCAATTTTACATTATAGCCACCTCAGCCTCAGGTGCTCCACCGCAGAGATTTGGACCATCTGATATGTACTACACACCACTGCATTCTGATCTGCTATTTGCACTGTGCATGTACTTGCATATAAAACTGCGTTTTAATCTGTTGTATGGTCAATTCTGCAAATAGGTTACCCGTCCTACTTGCCAGGACAAGTCTTTGGGAGCAAGACATAGTTGCTGGCTTGAAAAATATTTGTAACGTTCAAAGCACTGCATCTTTAAAAAGTATTTACCATTTTTCTTTAAAGCAGTTTAAAGACAGTAAGATATTCTTTCGTGTTTGCCAGTGCATATCACTTCCCACAGGCATGTTTTCGTAGCCCTGATCACACAAAAACAAGTTTGTGGATGGTTATTTTGCATGTAAGTCAAACTGCCTTTTCCTCTCAAAGTAGGAAGTTCTTCACCATAGTGAGCGCCAAAACACACCAGATTCTGTGACGACAGGCAGAGTCTGGCTTGCAAGATTACTTAGGAGTGCCATTCTGCTCAAGGGACATAAACTGAAACCCAAGCCAGACTTACAGCACATCTAAACTACAAGTTGCATAATGTTAGTGCAGGTGTTCACACCTTCAGCTCCAGAACAAGGTCCATTCTCTTCTTGCCCAGAGGGTTGATATCATTCAGAATGAGGGCAATGATGATGTCAATGCCGTTGCACTCGTGGGTAGCAATGCAGTTCTGCAGGGAAACACGAGAAGGTTAGCACTGGTGGTTTTGGCATTAGTATTAAAGCACAAATTCATAGAAAGAAAGCTCAAGAGGAAAATTTCATCACTAAATGACAAAGCTCAACTGCCATTATGCAACGAGGTGCCTTAAATGGAAGGAGCACAATGGAAATAATGTGTGTGCTGTGGAGGCAAATCCAGCTGCACTAGTTAAGCTTTCTACACATAAATGAAACTCAGTTTTGTTTTGCAGTAGGTATAAGAATGGATCTGTTTCGTATATATATAAGTGGGTTTGCAAGGATGTTTTTGTATGTGTGTGTATGAATGAATGAATGAATTGATTAATTCATACGTATCAGTCCACTCCACCTGATTCTCATGGCAGGGGCCTTGGCAATACTCAGTAAGGCTCTCAACAGTCTGGTTGATAAGAGCCACATTCTTTTCGTTAATATAAAGTCCCAGCAGTCCCAGGCCTCCTGTCGTGCTGCCACAGATGCAGTCCAGGAATTGCAGTGTCTCACACACCAGGTTATAATTGTTCTTGTTGTTCTGACAGCGCAGGAAGTTCTGGAGAGGGAGCAACAGAGAGGAGAACATACAGTTAGCTCACAGGAAAAAAAAAACTTGTCAACAGGATGTAAAGGATGTGTTAATTTTTAATTACGACATTCAGCGTTCATAGAGAACAGTCACAGAGTCTAGAGATCATAAGAGTTTGTAGTCGGACTGTGAACATAGAAAATGCTTGGATGTATTTCTGTAAGACGCAGGCTACTAAAATGTAGGTCAATAAAAACACTACAACACAAACAGAAATGAACTGGTTTGAATAAAAAATCTGTAGTATGTTAGAACATCTCTTTTTAAGACCTGTGAAACCCATGATTGACTGGTTCTGTTCTGTTTAATAACCCATATCCTCACTAACTACTTTCAGTACACAAGCTAAACAATTGCTAAAATGAATGCACTGCTCAATACTAGTCTTTTTAGAAATGTAGGTATTTTTTGGTATTTTTAACCGTAACTACAAACATAATTAGTCACTAGTCACTTGCTTGTTTTGGCCTGAGGGCATCCCCTTCTCAGTCTTGCTTCCTTGTTTATCCTTGAGGACTTTTTGTTTTGGCTCAGTTTAAACCTGAAAAATCTCTTTTTGACAATATTTATTGTGAAAAGGGCAATGCTAATAAAATTAAAACATTTAGAGCCATTTTGTGAAAATGTCTACTGTGCGATGTGCTATTCAATTACAACTAAACCACAATAAGCTGAATCTGCAATTCCTAAATGTGTAATTTACAGAGATATTTTTGCTAAACTTTAACTACCATAAAACAAATATCTGTAATGAACCTTTTAAAGCCACTTTTTAAATGCCAAAAAACTCAATATTTGATCAAATACTTGAAAAGTGCTGTGCGTATTTCTTATCATTGCTGAGTTGTGGCACTGTAGTGGATGATCTTCCACTCAGCATAGGTTTTGGCACAGAGTTACAGAAGCAATCCGTTTACTTCTCTCATGCAGTGGGTCACTACTGAGATACATTCTGTGTTTACAGTGGCTGACCTGTAGTTCGCGGTTGTGATTTTCACAGAGCAGCTGCATGAGGCGGAGGATAGGCTGCATGATGGTGATGGTGACACTCATCTCGTTCTCGTCCTGGTTCTTCTCGCCTGAGCTCGCTGGTGACTCACCAGTGCTCAGGTGCTCATCTGAGTCCACCTCCCGTCGATAGGCTGCGAAAGCCTTCTTTGTAGCCGTTGAAGCTTCCAGAAGCTGCTCGCGCACCTCATCAGTGACAACAGCGACATCCTTCACTGGAGGACAAGATGGGACATTTTTGATAAGATAGAAAAACCAAGGCAATAACTCTTCTTTAGGAAACTACTTTAATTTGGGGTTAATGATGTGCACTTTTTGCTCTTGCTTAATGTAGAGCATTCTGGTATTCAAATAACATTGCTAGTTTCAGTGTCTCACTTTGAAAAACAAAAACTCCCTCCCGCCCACTCTAGACTGATTCATTTGTTTTGAAGTACAAACTGTCCACTCTCTGGACCATGTTATCCTGACCTTTCTTTTTAGCGGGTGCCTCTTTATCATTGGTGTCTTCATCTTTGCGCTTGCTGCCCAAGTCACTGGTGTTGACCGTCATGGTGGCTTTGATCTCTTGCTGGGCCAACTTCATCCGCTCATAGAAAACCTTAAAGAACTTCTCTGACTTATTGTCCCGTGTCAGTCGGATAAAGAATGATCTCTGAAATTACAGATAACGGGAGAGGAAAAAAAAAGCACAGAGACAGTAAACATGAATGGAATGATCATCTCTATGGTTGCATTTATAGAGCAATGATTGCCATTGTGGTAGCAAAGTACTTAATTTTAAGAGAATGTACCCACTTGAGGTGACCATCAACCACAGTTTCTAGGTGAGTTGGATACTTTGCAAATAGAGATGGCACTGAGCCAATATCTGTGTCTAGTCGACACCAGCAGAAAATGCTGAAGGAAAAAAGGGATGAATTGGATCCAATTCTGTAACAAAGCTTAAAAGTATCGCAGAATTGCTTATAGTACAGTATAAAAAAAGCCAACTAGGTCTTGTAATAAAATTAGCCAAGTGAAGCCTAACTAAGAACAAAGATTAGCTAGCTACGTATTACACTTTGATTATAATTTCTTTATTTAAAATGGTCTAATTTTGACTATGTGCTTCTTCCTTTTGGGTAGTAGACTTTATTATATTTTCTATTTTCTATGGCCATGATAAGTGCTTGAATTAAAAAACAACTTAGTTTAAAGTTTAGTAGTCTTTAGACAAAATATATTGGCAAAAAAATCAGCAGTATGTTAGAGCATCGTTTAAATTTAGTTTAACCTGTATCCTGCCTTCCGCCCAATGACAGCTGGGATAGGCTCCAGCACCCCACCGCGACCCAGAAGGATAAGCGGTTTAGATGATGTATGTATGTATGTAGTTACACATACCATAGAACATGATGGAGTGACAGCTGAAATCAAACACTACTCACGCGACTTTGGGTTTTCAGACACGAGTTTTCTAAACAAGTGTGATTTTAACAAGGTACAGCTTTAAACACCGCAGAACAGGTTTGTTTTCAGCTTTCTATGACTACAACACTAGTGACTCGACTTTGCTCGATCACACAGAACTTTTTACCATAAGTTTGTGTGAGGTAGTTGGAATCAAACTTGTACTCTGCTAACTAAGCGAACGTTTTGTTTAGCTTGTAGAAAAAAGATTCAAAAACAACAGAACAGGTTTATTTTTGCTTTTCTGTCCCTCCATCAGTCACTTGACCTTGATCCCTCAGATTTAAGTCATCTGAACTAGCAGCACTGATCAACACTTACCAACTACTGTTTGAAATATGTTTTTACATTTATTGAATAACGGATAGAAAACTATGCAAAGTGGATTTTATTTTATTGTTTCTGATTTTAAAACGCAGGGCGAGATCTCACAAACATAAGCTCTTTTACACCATTTATGGTGCTTTAACATGTTTTACACATTTTTACACAATGCGGTAATATTTGAAGAAGTTGTGAAGGTATGGGTAACACTATTGGGGTGTACTATTCATAGGGCTACATGACATCTACATAAGCTTGTCATGACAACTAACACAACCTTGCATAAGTGTTATAGGTGTCATTCACTATTACATTTGCCAATTTTGATCAGTTAACTAAAGTAGCCTTGTTGACAGATGATGTTTTACCCGATTTTCTCCCCAATTTAGTTAGGACTCTCCCAATCACACGATGCTATCAACGCTAGGAGGGTGAAGGTTAACACAGGCTTCCTCCTGTGAAGCCAGCCACCGCTTCTTTTCGAACTGCCGCTCACGCAACGTCACTGGACAGCCGTACGTGCTCGGAGGAAAGCGCCAACCGCCAGATCTGTTACGTCAGCTAACAGATGCCTGCGCTGACTAGCATCGCGTTGAGTGATGGGGGGAGAAGGAGGGGCCATCCCACCCACCCACCCAGAGAGAGAGCCAGGCCAATTGTGCTCTCTTGGACTCCTAGCTACGGATGGCTGTAGCATCACCAGGGATCGAACTCGCGATCTCCTGATGATAGGGCCAACGCTTAGACGGTTGCACCACTCGGGAGCCCTTGACAGATGATGTTTATTGGAATAAGCTATTATAAACATTTATGTAGGGTTATGTCATTCTATTAATTATGCTACGTAATGCACTCATCCTCCCTCCCAGCTCTACTGTAGTTAGTAATGCGTGCAACAACAAAATGGTCATCATTTTTTCTTCACTGAAATTGTGTTCAAAGTATTGTAGAATACCAAATCATGAACCCATCAATCGAATCAAATCTAATCAAGTGTACTGTTATACCGTGAGCCAATACTCAAGGTTTAAGTTATAAAAGAGTGGGTGCTGCATCATCTCTAACTGGGTGAAATTCCCTCTAGCTCGGAAAGAGTGGAGGACAATATTAGCCCAGGAGATCCTCAGCACTGCAGTTTTTCTTTATGACACAAATAATGAAGCCCGTCAACAGCTAAATCAGGTGAGCAGGGGAAACACCAAACTGTGCAGGGCTGCGGTTCTCCAGCGCAGGAATTCCCCTAAAAACCAAACAGCTCACCAACAGTCTACCACAGTTCACTGGAAATACAGTGAAAGCAGCATAGGATGTAGGAAGTGCAGTTCCGATGGGGGGGTGTCACACTGGACGTGTTTTTTTTTATTTATTTTTCTTTTTTGCGGACCAAGGTGCCTTTTTCTATTGTTTTTGATGGGAGAGACGCCTTTTGCATGCAGATTACTATGGGCACCCCGAGTTTTCAACTGAAAGTGATCAAGCAGCCTACATTGTGAACATTTTTCTACGCTGAACAACCATATCAAAAAAAAGGCAGGCCTTCGCTTGTTTTTACTGGTAGCACCACTTGTGCTACTTAATAGCAGATCACTTTCTAAAAAGGTACGTGACAGAACCTTCTATCAGTATGTATCGAAATGACAGCTAACTAGCATAGGTGATTGACAGTTACAACACTAATGCTGCTTAGCAACAGGGAGATGCACTGCCAGAACAGCATTTTAAAAAAAAATGCAGCGTGAACATCCAAGGCCGTGGAGTGTACCTGGGACATTCTCATATGCCTCAAAATGTCCATAAGTCTTAGAGTGCCAGAATCATCGAGCAGATAAAAATATTCATGTAACGAATGTAAATTAATTGCAGCTCAGCAAAACCTTTAGTTCATTATTATGTTTTTTTTCCCCCAAATTCTCATGACCGCAACATCTCCACGTTTCTCACTACTGATATTTATCATTCTTTCATTTTTTTTCTAGATAAATATAATTTGAAGTTTTTCACTGTTGAATCTCTTTAGTGTTCCTTGTGAAGTGTAAGAATGTGAATTAAACCAACAAGATTTAATGTAGCACAAGAAAAACCTGTCAGTGTGTTGCAGTGATGAGATGAAACACTGAAATACTATATTTTGCAAATAAAGTACATTTTAAAAATTAGCTTTAAAATCCTTTAGGACAAAAACACTATTTACAAACATATGTTCAGGTCTTATTGTGTTGCATGAATGAGAATTGGGTGACTTAAATTGGAAAATGTTATTAAAAAAAATGCTTTAAAATCAAATCATTAAGATTTATTTTTAATTATTCAACCAGATATAATTGTTTGCATATAAAAGAAAACATTATGTTTTAGAAATTTTCAAGTTAGGTCCAAGTATCTCTCATGCTTGTGAGATCAACACGCCTGTGTTTTTCAGCCTTCAGAAAAACTCAGTTTGAACCTCCTCTTAGTGTGCTGGATATATTCACAAGTTAATGACCTGTCTCTTTAAAGACCCACAGCAGTGTTTCACGGTGCAGCCATGCTCCTGGGCTCCGTTCTCACGTCCCTCCCTTGGTGTTTACTGCCAGCCAGGCTCACACCACTGTTGTTACATAACACACACACACACACACACACACAGACACACACTCAGACACACACACAGACACACACGGAAATAACCTGGAGTGCCTCCCTTAGCTCACCTGATTTAACACCATCTGCCTCTCGGCAGTGCTGTACCCATAGTTACAACATGCGCAAGTGAGAGAGAAAAGAGAGCAAGTTCAGCCAAACATGACAAGCATTTTTCCGCCCTCCCTAAAATCTCAGCAGTGAAAAAAGTAGGTCTCTTCAACTTCAATTGAAATAAAACCACCACAGGGATGTATAAAAGTAAATGAAGCACTTTAAATTTTGGCTAAACGTATAGGATCCAGAAAACAGGGGCAGGAGAGAAAGAGAGACAGAGAGAGATGGAGGGATATGTGGTGTTTTTTTTGTTTGTTTTTTTTCCTCTGGTATATCCTGTCCTAGTTTCCTCCCCTGTCCTTTTTGTTTTTTTCTTTTTTTTTTTACCCTCCTCAACAATCCCTCCTTACATAACCACTATAATCAGCTGAGTAGCTGAGGGGACAGAGTGCAGAGAGAGAGCGAGAGAGAGAGAGCAAGAGAGAGAGAGAGAGAGAGAGAGAGAGACAGGAGGAAGGGGGGCAGATTTTATATACATATATACATAAAAAAATAATAAATATACACACACACACGCAAACACACACACACATACACACATTATATATATATATATATATGTACATATATATATATATATATATATACATAGAGACAGAGCGAGAGAGAGAGTGAGAGAGAGCAAGAGAGAGAGAGAAAAAAAAAAGAGAAAGAGCGAGACTCTTGCTCTTGCGCACGCTCGTGCTTTGGGCCAGGAAAAAGGAGGGAAAAAAGGCGTAGGAAAATCCTGCCCTACTTTCACGAGCCAAACAGGCACGAAACGAGTGCGTGGTGTGTCAGAGCAGGGGGGGGAGGGAGGCAGAGTTATCACCCGGATTCTAGGACAGTTTTGAAAGCCTGTTACATAACTAGCCTTCTTTTCAGGTTAAACTCACTCACACTCTTTCAGACTCAAGGGAATAAAGCAGACACACACTCTGAGCAGGGACGTGTAGAAGGGACTTAAAAAGACAGAGGCCTATTTCAAATCACACTTGCTCCGATGAAGCTACAGTAGGAAATTAACAAAGTCGTCATGACTGTATTTCTCAAACAGCATGCTTTCCAAGGAAGCCAAAATCAAATAAAAGTTCCGCCTTTACGAGGAACTGGGTGAATAAGCCTTTAGAAAAAGCAAGCATCAATGAAGTTAATTCAGCAAGG